CTAAAAAAAAACATGGTAGGCTAAAACAATACAGAATTTTAAAATGCACTTTCTACCAGTGTCTATATGAAAAGAAGTAGATGCTGAATACCTCAAGATGCCAAGTGAACAGGCAACATTGGGAAGCTGTAAGAACGTGCTTGAAGATGACTAACTATATACAATTGACTGCTGATCTATTTCTCCAGAACTGGAACTGATACAACTATCCTTTTCTGGCTTTTACTTTGATTAGAAAGTTGTTTTATTTCTACTCTTAAAATATACTTCAACTTTTTAATAACTAATGTAGTAACTTCACAAAAGTGTAACAGGTGAAACCCTAAAGAAAAAATGAAATTGTTAATGCTTTCAATCTTTTGGGAGGCTGGTACATAGCCAAATAAATTTCTTCTCTTTACAAAATGACTTTAAATTCAATCATAAGCATAGACTTATCAGTTATAAATATTACTTTGGGTTTATTTATAAGCTCTCTCATTGTAACCAAATTATTTAAAAATTTATAGTACAGAAGTTAACCTTGGCATTAACATGACAATATAACAGTATATTTTTATTACAACTTCAGTTGTTAGATTTCGTTTCAGAATGCCAACTATTTATTTTGCTAATAATGGTAGGTCTCTAATATCTAGAGCTATCAGAAAATATCTGTGTTATCTTTGTTAATCCTTGGGGTTCAAGGTAATAGTTTTTCTAGTAAGGCTTCCCTAGATAATGTTCCTATTTGACCAGATAAACAAAGATTACCTTTTAAAAAAATTTCAGATAAAATAATTTGGTTCTCTTCAGCTGCATTAGTTGATTCTTCCAAATTAAAGATTTATAAGTTTATTGTTATCACTGACTAGGGTACCTAAATTCTTGCATTTGTCTCCTTATACACATCTCACATAATACATCACCAAAGACAAAGAAAGATAAACTCTGGCCCAATTTTTGCTTAAAAATTCCAAAGCACTAGGAGCACTTTACATTTGGTCTTGAAAGAAGGAGTTGTTTATAAAATCAAAGGGCTACCGATTCCCTGTTCATCCTGCACTGAAGCACATGATGACAATTTCAAACCTTCCTTTTCAGTTCATTAATTAGAAAAGTGAATTTCATTACTTAAGTGTATAATTCTACAGTGATTAGCAGTATTTGTTTTTATCATTTCACTTGGGTAGCCATTAATTTTGAAACTCTTACCACTCATTGTAGCTGGTTGTAGTTTTATGGAAGATGTAATTTATAGCTAAAGTGGCTTTTTTATGCATAGCTGCCCTTTTTTATTGTTTAACAGTGTTTCTCAGCTATATAATCAGTTTCAAACTGGTTGTAAAAGTATAGCTGTGGCCAATGAATGTATTTATTTGTTGTTTCACTAAATTGTAACAAAACACTACTGTTCAAAATAAAAGTGTTTGTGCTTTTATTTGGAGCTCTGGTCTGGTTTTCTTAATCTTTTATTGGACTACACTGAGTTTCTATCACATAAGGATAAGAAACCGAGTGCCACCACAAAAAAGAGAAAAAAATCAGTAGTTACAAATGATAGTTTGCTTTCAGTGATCTCATAATTACTTGCATCTGGATGTCATATCACTTAATATTATACACCAATTGGATATGAAGTACCATACTTTTTACTTTAAAATACCAATAATGTTATTAGGTAGTACATGTTTATTCAAACGTTAAGCTAAGAAAAATCATTGTATGAAATAATTTATAACACCCCTTTCCTTCCCCTTAGAATCTTAAATAGGAATCACTTTCTAGGCCATAATCCTGAGCAGCTATTCTTTGATTATTTCAGAAATTCCTCAATGATGCTGCCTTTTCCCTTGAAAGAAGAGTTCCTTTTTTCCCCACAGTAGACTCCTTTCATGACCCACCAAAAACCACACCAAATTTTGAATACAATTTCAGCTTTATTGACCCCCTAAAGTCTATTAAGTCCTTGGGAGTCTACTGACCCTTGCTACAAAGTGAAAGAAACGAAGGTACTTGGAGTGAAGGTAGGAACTCTAATAAAGCTGTCACTTTAAAAGCAATTTATTCAACAAACATTTATTAAATGTTCATATGCCAAAAACTATGCTATGGAGATGCAAAAATAAAGGAAGTTCCTTTTCCTGCCCTTAAGGAGCTCACATTCTAGTAAAGGAGACTTTAAAAATTAAAAACAATACAGTACAATAAGTGACATACAATAGAGGTAGGTTGTAATTACAGTGGTGACACAAAAGAGGGAGTTAGATATCTGACTCTCCTCAAATGGAGCAAGGGAGATTTCACAGAGGAGATGCTTATGTTGGACCTGCAAGGATATAAGAATTTTCCAGGTGGGGAAGGATGGCTAGGGCACTCAATGCAGCGTACAGTATTTACCAAGGTGTGGAGACCTGGCCCTATGGGCCATTTGACTAACTTTAAGTCTGTTTTTATCAGACATTGGGTGAGGGAAAAACACCAGAGGACTCTGTACCCCAAGCAAAGGAGTTTGGCTTTCTCTTGAAGGTTCATGAAATCACTATGGGGTGTTAGGCAGGGAATTAACATTGTCAGAGTGTATCTAAAAGCCTACTCTGGTAACCCTGTAGAGCAAGAGAGGAGATAAGCTGGGTATAAAGAGACAGGTTAGTGTAGTACTTCAGGTAATTGCAATGAAAATGGAAAGAGTGATGTATCAGAGAGGCAGAGATAAAATAAGTAGAACTTAGACAATTGATAGGGCGAAGGTAGAGGAGAGGAGTGAGCCTAGAAAACTTCAAAAATGATGGTTCTTGAAATTAACTAAAGTAAGGAACACAGGAATTAGACTAAGTTTTGGGGAGAATGACTGCTAAGACACACACAGGCGTCTGTGGGACAACCAAGTGCAACAGGCAGATGGATTTAGAAGTTTGGGCTGAAGACAAGATTTAGGAATCATTGCATTGGAAATACCCAAGTGAGAAGTGGTGTAGTGATCAAGAGAGTAAGAATGAATGCCTCTGGAATAACTTTAAGGAATAAGTGAAGAGGCCAAAAGGGGGGGTTCAGGAGTAAACAAAATGTAAGGAACCAAGAGCATAAAGATTTTTAGAAAGGGTTGTCAACAGTGTCAAATGCAGAAAAAATTCAAGTAAGAAATGGCTTATGAACTGAACTGTAGATTTAGAATTAAGATTTTAGACTTTACAGGAAGGGATTGTCAAGAACTACAAGGACAAATGCCAGATTTTAGTTAAGGAGCAAGTGGAAGGTAACAAAGTGAAGGTGGGGATATTCTTTCAAAAAGATTGGTTATTAACAAAAGGGAAGGGAGGCAGCATAAGATGAGAGTTAGGTATACACACAAAATTACCATTTAAACCATCTACCATATTTTCATAATACTACAAATATCCTTAAACTTTTACATATAATGATCACTTCATAGTACTTCATAGTCTCCAAGAGGATTTACTTAATTAGTGGGTTAATGGCTTTCTTTTCCTGTCCTATTCAGAGAAAATGAGGGGGGGAAGGAAAATAGGGCACATAATACTAAACTTAGTTCTGTGATTATTCATTTAAAATATACTGAATACATATGCATACATTCATTCAACAGATATTTATTGGATACTAACTATGTGCTTGGCACTGTACCAAGCCTTAGGGACAAAGAGAAGAAAAAGTATACAGCAGTGTAAAGTGACATTTCTAAACCATTATATAAATAAACCCTGCTTTACTAATAATGTGGTATCTGAACATGTTATACTCAAGATATATATAAAGAGGGCACATAATTTTGAGGTATACAATTTCTTTTCCCCTACAATTATCATGTGATATAAATTCCTAACCCTTCAAATATTTTCATCATTGAAGAGCATCCACTAATGAAAACCTCCTAAAAGTATAGTTCAGTTTTAGGGAGGCAAAGGAAATGAACTTCATGTATAAAAAATTAAATTTAATCTGGGCATGGTGGCATGCACCTATAGTCCCAGCTACTCAGAAGGCTGAGGCAGGAAGATTGCTTGAGACCAGGAGCTTGAGTCCAGCCTGGGCAACACAGCAAGACCCTTGTCTCTAAAAAAATTGTTTTAATTAAAAAATTAAAAAATAAATTGCTTGCCCCATGACTATCAATCAGATCAAGCATAAAAAGGGCAACAAAACTGAAAAAGAACTTTAGATTGGAACTTGAAATGATTCTTTATTCTAAGGCTTATAGTATTATAGTTCCGGATTTGTGGGATTTTTTTTCCTGAGAACTAATTTTTAGAAATTATTCAGTATAACACACTAAAGTATTTAGGGTCAAAAGGGCATGATGCTTGTAATTGGCTTTCAAATGACTGAGGAAAAAAATCGCGTGTTTGTACATATACGGAGAGCATGAAAGATAAACAGATACAAACAATTGGTGATTCTGGGTAAAAGAGTTCTTTATACTACTTTTGAAACTTTTCTGTGAATTTGAAATTATATAAAAATAAAAAGTTTCCCATAAATTTTATTCAATATTAGGGAAAGTATTCTGAGAATAAATATATAATCTATTCAACTTTTCACAATGTTTAGAAATCCCATATGCCTTTGAGTTGTAATTGTACCTTTCTACACACAAAACAACCCAATCAAAATAGCAATATAATTTTAAAAGTGACTTGTTTCATACCAATGTATTTTCGGGTTGCCAGACAAACCACAAGACTCCCAGTTAAATTTGAATTTCAAAAACATAATGAATAATTTTTCAGTATAAGTATGTCCCGAATATTGCATGCAACATACTTAAATTAAGAAACTAGTTGTTTGTCTGAAATTCAAATATATCTGGGCATTCCTTATTTTTATTTGCCAAATCTAGCAACACTTAGGGTATTGAAAAATTCTAGGTTGTTAATTATGGATCATTCATGAGTCTCCTTAGCATTTTCCTATTAAATGTTTGTCACATTTGCCATAGTTTTATTTATATTACGTCTTACACAAAACTCTAGTTTGAGAGACTTAAAACATAATTCGCTTAGTTTTATTATATATGAATTTGATAATCCTGCTTTTACTCAATATTAAATTTTAAAATTTGTACCACATTATTAAAGTATTACTTTTACTCACAATAGTATTATACATAGACTTACCACAATTTAAAAATTTTGTTTACTTAAAACAATATAATTCTCCTTTTACAAAAGCAACTTTATATAAAATGTTTGGCTTAAGACTATCATTGCTGTTATGCCTTTGAATGAAATTCCACTCTTTGGCCTCCATTGTCCAGAAACAGGCACATTTCAAGTTGTTTTCTTTAATGAATATTTTGTAACAAGTTCCTGAAGTTTTCTAATTCTTTCACACTTGTAGATATTCTGTAATCAAAAAATATTTCACTCAGAAATCGTCTTAGATAAATTTTCTCTGT